TGATAGTTGGATAATAAACCGTTTTATTGTAATTTGTCTTTTTAAATTATTTTGAGTCAATATTAAAATTTGGAAAAGGGGGGGATACCTAGATTGGTAAAATAGGCGAATTTCCTCCTACAACTTCGGTTGTTATTCGGGGTACAGTTGAGGATTTAACTTCGTTAAAACCTCAACTGTACCCCGTCGAGCTGTAACCTGTGTCGAGCGAATACATAATTAGCAAAAAAAAGTTGAAATAAAGTGATTAAACAAAAATTATTACAAATATCGTAAATAACAGTTCACAAATGCATACATAGAGATATTTTTTGAAGGGGGAAATGGTCTTCACAATTTGAAATTGATCAAACACACAGTATAAATGCACGCCATCTATCGTAGGATAAATGTACTATGCCAGAAACCTTCACGGGAGTATATTAAACAACTTCTCAAAGTTTCACGGCAATTGGATAAACGGTGTGGTAATGCATGAAGGACACACACACACGCACACACACATGCATTCATTTTTATATATATAGATAAATATATTGTAAAATATAACGGTAATAATAATAATAGAAGTAAAAAGCACTAAAAAAATTTAATTAATGAATAAAAAAAATAAATGGTAACATCAAATATTACACTGTATTTTCTAATAATTGTAATAAGTATGATGGTATTTATTTTTATTTTAGGTAACATTAGAAATGCGTAGTAACACAATTTGTTGGAATCCTATGGAATCATTTGTGTTTACAGTGGCCAATGAAGATCATAAGTAAAATTTCTCATCTAAAATTTTAAACTTTTATAGTCATTACATATTTCTGTACTATTCTTAAACATTGTCTAATTGAAACTATTTGAAGAAATTATCAATATATTTTATTTTAATTAATCCATAGCTGAAGTGCAACATTTTTATTAATGCAAGATTTTTTTTAAATTGGCTTTATTATTTGTGTTGTTATTTTTAATTCAATAAAGTATGTTAAATATATTTGGCATTATTTTTAATTAAAAATAATTATTTATTTTTCAGTCTTTATTCTTTTGATTTACGCAAGCTATCAAGAGCTTCTCAAATTCATATGGATCATATATCAGCAGGTTAAATGATTTTATTTTATAGTTGTAAAACAATAAATAATTTAATAAGAATAAGAAAACAATTTAAAATAATAAGAAATTTTTTAAGTTTTTAATTAAAAATCATATTTTAGTGAAGCTGTATCATTTTTAATATTCTAGATATATTTTATAAAATTATTTATTGCAATAAATAATTATTTCAGTTCTGGATGTTGATTATTCTCCTACTGGAAAAGAATTTGTAAGTGGAAGTTATGACAAAACAATAAGAATTTTTCCTTTGACACATGGAAGAAGCAGGTAGTATTTTTTATTGGATAATTATTTAGCATTTAATAAATTATTTGACTTAGAGATGTACTGTTAATTTAAAATTGAATTGCAGAAAAACTTTTTATTAAGCTGTAAAGTTTATAAAATGAATAGAATTAGGTGCAACTTTTATTTTGATTTGTAATACTAAAATAAATGAATACAATATACAGGGTGCATAGGAAAGTCCCTTTAACCAGAAAATTTTTGCGAACAGAGAGAGCTACAGCTATGCAAGTGAGGTAACGGTATAGTAAAGCGACTATGCATGACCTAATGCAAATGACAGCAGCGCCCCTAGTGGCAAAATTTGGATGATAGGCAGTGCAAATCGAAAATGGAAACAGATAGAGCAAACTTTCCAATTAGAAAGTTTTAGAGCATCAATTAATTAGTACAAAATGACATGTGGTTCACACAGATAAGATAAATTGTCGCCTGTATATCAAAAATGTTTGAAAGTGATGCAGGCCATTTTGTGTAAACGTTTGAAAGNAGGAAAGACAACTAAAAGTACATTAAACACAAAAATGATAAATAAAAATATTTAAATATTTATTAAAATAACTTAATTTTTTGTTTTATTTTAGGTATCTGATGATAAAACAGTTAAGATTTGGAATGGTTCTTCTGATATTGATGCTCCTTTACACACTATTATTGGAAAAGTAAGTTTTAATATAATTTTCTTCAACATCATGACTGCATGTTTGAATAATGTTATAGATCTGTTTATTATTTGGTATTAATTAGTGATGTAACGAATATTCAGTTACTATTTGGTATTCGGCCTATTTTTCACTATTCGGCTGAATACCAAATATTTAGTCACTATTTGGCCAAATACCGAATACCTAAAAACAGGAGTAATAAATGACAGAAACACAGTAAATTAATCATTTTGGTATTTAGATTTAATGTTGTTGGTTTAGTGTTGTTTATTTATACCGTGTTTCCCCGAAAATAAGACATCCGCAGAAAATAAGACCTAGCACAGATTTTGCTGAATTGCGAAATATAAGACCTCCCCTGAAAGTAAGACCTAGCAAAGTTTTTTTTTTAGTCGTAACGGTCATCGACAGATGGTTGAAAGTGGCCGTTGGCTTTTTGAAAGTACAGCCACTGATTGGTCAGCAGACAATTATGCCACACGGCATGATTTGCATAAGACTATGGCTTGGGAATTACAGATTTGCATAACGTTACGGCTGGTGATGACTAATTGGTCGGCCGGGAATCACGCCACATGACATTTGCATAGTGCTACGNTGTTATGGTAGTAAAGTTCTTTTCACTAGCATAAAAAATTTATCCCGAAAAAATGTGTTAAAAATGACAGTTTGAATATTATTTATAATTTACACAACATGATCATAGATAAAATTTTTCGATTATATAGTTCATTTCCATGAGTAACCCTGTACAAATGGCCATTTTGTTCTGTGCATTTGACTAAAACAAACTCAAACAGTTTTTTTACACAAAGAAATTTCTTGCTTCAAAAAAATTATAAATTCTTAAAATAAAATAAAATAAAAATAAAAATGCCATTTGGTATTAAATATGTGAAACAAGTGTACAGAATAACCTACAGTAGTGTAGTGCCATCTATGAATGGAATGTTTTATAAGAATCGTAAATTCTCAGATTGACAATAAATCATCAAGTGATTTGTATCATTAATTAACTGCTTGATATATTGACAAATGATTGTAAAAGGTTAAAATAATATTTTTTTAAAAAAGTACTTATATACAGTAAAATCTGTAAAAACCAGAATTCAGTGGGACACTCTTGTTCTTTTGTCTTGGGTTTTCTGCCATTGACAGAATATATAGTTTTATCAATTTTCTATTGCTTTGTTGTTTATCAAATGCTCTAAAAACCTATCTTTTCTTATTTATGAGATNAATGCCATTTGGTATTAAATATGTGAAACAAGTGTACAGAATAACCTACAGATTTGTTTCATTAATTAATTACTTGACGATATATTGACAAATGATTGCAAAAGGGTTAAATGAAATTGATGCTAACACACAACACAAAAACCAGGAATTTTCTCCCATTTTTTGACTTTTTTGGGTTCATAGGATCTCAAAACATCAAGATTTGCAAAAATCCCAGAATGTCAAATTTGACATGATTACAATACTTTCCCAACATATAACATCCAGGAAAGTAAAACTAATTCAATAGAAGTTACTTTTTACTCTTATTATAT